CTGCTGCTGCCGCTGCTGCTGCTGGCGGGCTGCGCCTGGCGGCCGGCGCGGGGCCAGGAGGCGCCTCAGACCCCGGACTGGCGGATGACGCTGAAGACGATCCGCAATGGCGTGCACAAGATCGACATGTACCTGAACGCGGCCCTCGACCTGCTGGGCGGCGAGGACGGGCTCTGCCAGTACAAGTGCAGCGATGGTGAGCGGGGCTGGCGGCGCGACCCTTGTCCCGGGCAGGGCGGCCGGGGCTGCGCTCCCGCCCAGCGCCGCTCCCGGGACAGACCTCGCCGACGAGTTCTTAGCGGCCTGCCTACCTAGAAATAGCTGTGTGAGCCTCTTGCACGTGTATGTGTGTTTAAACACGTGTGTAACCTGTAGGGAGCGTGTATACACGCGAGCAGCTCTCTTATTGCGACTTTTAAACGGCTCCTTTCATTTTTTCTAAATAGCTCCTTGCCTTGGAGAAGGGCTTATTGCTGTCAAATATGTAGCTGATATGTACATGGAAACACCCTGGAGTGGGAAGAATTGCTCCCTCCCGGCTGGTTATTTACCAGCAGCCCTGAGCATTTCGGTTTGGGACAGAAAAGCTTAAACTTGATCTGTGGAATATGTTGTTTGAAGTCACGCTTGAATAACAAATGTAATGGCAGCCGCGTTTGCCAGTGGAAGGAATGCATCCTGCTGTTTGTAGATCCTGCTGCTACCAGCAGAGGACATCTGTGCTTCTCTCTTCCCTGCATTTCACCTGCCTCATTTACCTGAACGATAATTGAGGCAGCTCAAGTTGGCATGACCTGGTCGATGATGATGGTTATTATTATCATCATCATCATTATCATTATTATTATATTAGACTATTATTATTAGGATGAGCCTGCTTGAGCAGGGCGTTTGGACCAGGTGAGTGACTGCGGTGCCTCCCAGGCTGAGCCGTTCTGTGGTGCCCTGCCGTGCCCTGCCCATCCCGGGGGCCAGCCAGGCAGCGCTCCACAAACGGGATTTCTTTCCAGGCTTTTCACTGGCGCTTCCAGAGCACCCCAAAGTGGCAGCCTCACGTAGCCTGCCGTGGTGGAATCACATCACTCCAGTTTACCCCGTTGGATTATTTGTTAAGTCAGGAAATCAGTCTGATGGTGACACCCGGGCTGGCTCCACAAGAGTGGCCAGGACACCGTCATAGTTACACTCTGTACTAAAATATACATCTTTCAAATGTGTTTTTTTTTTCCTCTTCATTACTTTTAATTGTGGCCTCAGATTGTTTCCAATACTGAAATGGACTGGAGGGTCATTTTTCATATTAACTCCACAGTCTTTCTTAACTTGGGATGGAGAATTCCTTGGTTTGCTGTGAGTGTTCAGGGAGATGGGAGTTCAGCAGTCTCTAGTGATTCAAATTCTGTTAATGTTACAGCTGTAGAAATAAAAATTATGTTTCATCCCAGTTAAGATAAAAAAAATCAGAGAACTACTGTTGACTGCATGTAAAGCATAAAAATATTAATGAACTTACACTAAAGTTCTCAGTATAGTTCTATATATTGTATGCTTAACCAACACATTGATTTTAGTATTTTTTTTAACTTAGAAGGCAATCACTGACACTTGCTCAGGTGCCTTGTCCTCAAAAAAATATTCCTCAATATCCCTAAGTTGTAATATGGAAAGAATTGTTGATATGCGGGTGCCTGAATATATGTTTTTAAGTTAAAAATGTAACTGATACTGTCTTGAGCCAAACAAATGTCTGTGATGAGCTTTAAAACTACTAAAATCCTGTGCAAAAAAATCTATTTGAGACATGACAAATTACCTTTTTCAGGATCAAGGCTTGTTCCTCGCGATGGATATAAACCATCACCACCAAATGGCTGTGGATCCCCTCTATTTGGAGTTCAGGTAAGTATTTCCATTTTGGGGCTTCTTTGTGTGTCTTTCACACATCAGCTTTCCTCAGTATAGATGACTTTTTCCATCCCTTCTGAGACAGCATCCATATACAAGGTCCTTGTTTTTATCAGCTCTTACCACTTATGTGCTCTGGTAAGAACAATATGGGAAGTGTTAGTCTATTAAAAGAACGCAGCATAAACATTTTCAAAAAATACAAGCATAAAATGTAATGATTATAAATTTCTTTGATTTTGAGTGTTTGGTTTAGCATTTTGCTTGCACAGAATTGAAAGCATTGAATAACTGCAGCTATAGCCATATGAGAGTGGAGGGTTTGGCTATGACTCCTGCTGTCCTTACTGATACTAACCCTTTTTCCTTAATGCTAGAAAGAAAATAGGAGTTAGCTTGTTGTCCTCCAGCTTTGGGACTTTCTCTTTTTTCCCTACTCTGCCCATCCACCACTTCAGAGTTGGCTGGGGCTTAGCAAGAGGGTGGGTGGGGACACAGCTGGGGCAGCAGACCCACACTGAGCAGAGGGATATTCCATCCTATATAGTGGTGCTCAGCAATAAAAACAGCAGGAGGAGGTGGGGAGGGGGTGATGATAGAGCTGTGTATGACTTCCAGGTGTCTGTTGCTCAGAGACCAGCTTGGCATCCCCTCTGCTCTGAAATGTGGTGAGTGCTTTTTGCACTGCTTATTTTGGGACATTTTTGTTTTCTTTTATTCATCTATTAAACTGTCTTTATCTCAACCCATCACATTAGTTTTTGATTTCTAATGGTCTGTCCACGGGCTCCTTTTTTCCTTATACTGCAATACCAATGGAGGTGTGTACGTGTTTCCTTCACAGTTTGACATCGGCATCCCTTCAATGACAAGGTGCTGTAATCACCATGACAGATGCTATGATACTTGTGGCAATAAAAAAAATGACTGTGATGAGCAGTTTCAGACCTGCCTCTCAAAAATTTGCAGAGATGTGCAGAAAACGCTTGGAATCTCAGAGAGTGTCCAGGGTAAGGGTGAAAAAATCTTTATTTTTTTTTTCAAGTTTACCTCGAGCTTAACTTGACAAAGGATCTTTGTGCAGCGCAGCAAGGCCACGTTTTCATCAGGTGATGAAAGATGCTTTGTTCTGTCCCTCTGCTGTGCAGCCCAGATGCTTGCACAGCAGAGCAGTGACACAGCATAGGAAAATATCTGGGTTAAAACTAACTTTGAGTTAAGGTTAGTTTTAACTCTAGGGGAAGAAATAATGCTGCCCATTTGGGAGTATGAACATGGGAATACAACTTGAACAGAATGCATGTGTAATTCTTGCATTTACTGTAACATAGCTGTAACATGTCTGTTCTGCTAGTTGATTTCTAAACTTCTGTGTGTGATTGCTGGTAAACTGTAGGAAAATACAGAATATTCCCCTGTTATGAAATAAGGTATTAAAATAATACACTGTCATAGTGGAGGTAGTTAATGCTGTATCTTAGTGAATAAATGTTAGGTTTCTTAGTAACAGCTCATATGGTATTTCTTCTGGTTGTTGGCCTGCATCAGATGGGTACATGACATAACCACTTAACTTGGACAATATCACTTGCACTGTAAATACTCCCACTGAGAGCAGTAGGTTTTTAGAACTACCTTGTGTTTGAACATCTCAAATTTATTTAACTGTAAATAAATTGTCATGTTAGTCTTTAGTGACAGAACTGATGATTATTTGTTCAATTCTGTTGAGCTGACGTTAAAGATAACAACCTCTGCATAAACTGGGATGCAAAGAGTGAGGAGTTAAACCAGCTCTTTCATCTTCCAAGACTCAGTATGTTTCCAGCACAGATAACATTCCATATGCAATGAATTTTCATTTTGTTTGGCATATAAATCTTTACTCAAAACTTAAAATGACTCTGTGTTGGTTCAGTCTTCCATTTGACAATCTATTTGCTGTGCCCAGAGAACATTGCTTCTTTCTTGGAGTCATTCTCAGTTTGCCAGTGTTTTCTCCTGTTAGTTTCATATTCCACTCAAAGAATACTTTTAACTGAACTCTTTTTTGCTTACAGCTTGTGAATCAACTGTTCAGCTGCTGTTTGATGCAGTTATACATTTAGGATGCAAGCCATACCTGGACAGCCAGAGAGCTGCTTGTGTGTGTCGTTACGAAGGCAAGACAGATCTCTGAAAGAAGACACCGAGATCTCATGGTGTAGAGTAAAGCCAGAGATTCAGCCAAAATGAAGCAAGGCTTTGGTTACAAACCTTTATGCTTTTCAGACAGTGATATATTAAACACTGACATGAATTGACTGATTTGAAGATCACTACCATATTCTAATTCATGTAAAAAAGAAACAAGTCATTCTTCTCTTCGTTTTATGCCAGAAGCTTGGGAACTGAAATTGCTTTCCTTTGGTGTATGTCCACCTAGGGTGTGCTGTTGTAAAATGCTGGTGCCATTTTTTAATGTTCCCAAGAAAACTCCATAGTGGGGACATCAGAGGCACCAAAGAGTAACATTGAATTCTCAGGTGATTTTTAATACAGGTCAAACCCTAGCTTTACTAGCAGCTGAAACATCTGATGGGTTCAACAGGAAAGAGTGTATTATGTGTACCAATATGAGACACCTTACATAGCCTGTACTTGCCTGTTTCTGCTGCAATTGCCTTCAGTTCTCTCTCACGTAGGTGGTCCTGCAGGTTTGTTGTTAAAAAACGAGGAAAATTGCCCAAGCCAATGTCCATGCACTACATATTTCTACCTGATTCAATATCAATGCCTTACTTCTGCAGCACTTTTCAGATCAAATATCCTTTTAAGGTCTGTACAGTAAAATGAACAGTTTGCAGCCTAAGGATATACTTTTGATTTAAGAGAATGGTGAAATGTAGTTTCTATGTTATTTTTTAAAAACTCATCAAATGCCTGTTTTTGGATAAAACATTTTGTGTTGTGTGTTGTATGCACAGAAAGGATATATGTACAAATACGTTGATTTATATTTCTATTGTGGCACAACTTGGCTATTGTATTCATCTTTGCTTTCATTTAGTCTGTTCTGATGAAAACTAAAAGCAAGTTCCACAGTTAAGATCAGTGTGCCCAGAAAACTTAAGATGCCCTCTATGAGGCTGATGGATATATGAGCCTGTATTTCTGTCACCTGTTCCCTCTCTGACTTGTCTAGCTGAACTCACCTGATGTCTGAATTATGTGGGGTTTGATCTCTGTACTCTCTGCATTTGTTGCTTATCTACAGGTGTCAGTCCTTAGTTAACTTCTGCATTAGGTCCTCTGTTAGATAATGATTTGCTTTCATTAAAAAGCAATTCTGCTTTAGAATTCACAGGAGAGGAATGAAAATGAAAATATTGCATTTATGAACAGGTAATAGAAACTAAATGCATAAAATTCACTGGACTCATGGACTATAATGTGATACAATTCTTTGTGTTTTTTCTTTACCAGTTGTGTTTTTGGTTTGTTTGTCACTAGAGGTTAGTGTACATGACAGTGAATGTAAGGGCCTCATAAACAAAAAGTTTCTGCTAAACTTCTTTGGTCGTGCCTCAAGGTTTCTTTCCTTATTTGTGGATATGAAATAGCACCAAAAGAGAAGTATTACTGTAGAGTTTTACAAAACCTTGCTAGATGAACTTGTAGTTCCCCTAACTTTGGTGACATTTATTTTCTACCATAGAATTGAAACAATTCTGAATTACCCTGGAATTCCATGGGTGTAACCCTAAATATATTTTTAACATTAAAGCAGGCAATATTAATGACATTGTTCATTGAAAATGACAAAAGTACCATAATGAGTCCAAACCACTATAATTCAGCTAGATGGCTTGTTGAGTTCTGTACAAGTGGGCTCAAACTGGGTGCTTAAATGAATGCATATCCTGGGTTTGGTTGGAAGAGAGATAATTTTCTTCCTAGTGGCTGATGCAGTGCTGTGTTCTGGATGTAGTGTGAGAATAATGGTGGTAACACACTGATGATTTGGTTGTTACTGAGCAGTGCTTACCTTAAATCCAGGATTTCTCAGTTTACTGCACTCTGCCAGTCAGGAGGTGCACAAGAAGCTGGAAGGATGCAAGGCCAGGACAGCTGACCCAAACTGCCCAAAGGAATATTTCACACCACAGAGCATCATGCCCAGTGTAAATATAGGATACGGGGAGAGTTTATATCCTGATCAGCTGGAAGGCACCAAGCTCTGCTTGGGGACTGGACAGGGGGTGGTGAGCAACTGTACTGTGTGTCACTTGTTTGTCTTGGGGTTTATTCATCTCTCTATCCTTCTCATTATTATTTTTATGTGTTTATTTAAGTTACTGAAGTGTTCTTACCTAAAGCCATTTACTTTTTCTGATTCTCCTTCTCCCCATTCCATATGTGTGTGTGTCTGTGTGTGTACACACATATGCTCAGTCACTGGCTGGGGTTAAAGCACGACAACACAGAAAATTTCCACTGTTGGAAAGAGCTGGGTTTTGTTCCCTCCTGTGCTGACCTGAAATTATACCATGAAAGCCTCCTGGAGTTTCTTTCAAACCACGTAAAACACTAAAAAGAGCTTTAATACTGCTGGATAGCACTTTGACAGTTCTGCTTGCAAACCACAGGAAGCATTTCACTTCTTCCAGTAGTCTTTATTTTGCACAAGCTTTTCCTGTAGCAGAAATTCTTGATTAGAGTTACCTGCAAGTTATACAAAAATGCATTTTGCAGACCATAGCCCTAAGATGAAGCCTAGCTATCACCCCCAGGATTAATCATACTATTGAAGAACTTCTATATTTGTATATATCTATTTCCAAAATGTGATGCTTGTCCTGGTTGTGGCAGTTATGTTTAATGTTTTCCTTAGCAGCTGATAGAATGCTGTGTTTTGGTTTGAGAATGAGAACAATATTGATAAAACACAGCTTCTCCTGCTGCCCTGCCATTGAGGAGGCCGATGTGCATGAGGATTGGGGAGCAGACACAGCCAGGTCAGCAGACCCAAGGGATATCCCACACCGTATGGAATCACGCTGAACAATAAAACTGGGGGGGAGCTGCCATGGGGAGGGCACTGATCACTCCTTGGAGACTGGCTGAGCATCAATCAGTGGGTGGTGGGCAACTGTACTCTCTGTCACCCGTCCTGTATATCCTTCTATTATTATTTCCCCCCCCTATTCTGTCCTGTTAAACTGTCTCTAGCTTTTTTCTGGTTCTCTCCCTCATCCCACTAGGGGGAGCGAGTGAACAGCCCTGTGGTTAGGGCAAAAGCACAGCAATTCTATCGATAGCGGCTCATTGAACTCAGCACTGCATGTTTCTGTATGGTCGGCAATACTGTACAGCAGTGTGTCCTTCCTTCTTCAGGCTGCAGTTCTGATCCATCCATAAGCAATACCCACCTACCGGGGAGCCGCTGCAACAATCGGAAAGTGTTTCTAAGCACCCAGGCACGTCTGACAATAGAACTCTGGTCTATTACAGTGAGCTGGAAACGCGCTCCAGCCCAGCGCTGCCTCCGGCTGCCCACCCTGCGGTCAAGCTAGTGCCTGACTCTGCTCGGAGCTTCCAGCCAAACCAAGCAGATAAAAACTCCATCTTACAAGGCTCGAAGCGAGCTGTTGGACTGAGGAACACGGCTGGTTCGAGTTCAAAGTGCTCTCCCAGGGTCCTGGGGTTTGGATCTGCCGCTGCTGCTGCCCACGAGAGTCCTGCTCCCAGTGGGTTCAGGGGCAGCTCTGGCCTGAGCTGAGAGCTGGGATTTGCAGTTGCCAAAATAATGAATCTAAATGGTTCTAAATAAGTCTAAGGGAGTCTAAATGTTACCCGGTGTAAGACGCAAAGCTTGTGATAGTGTCGGGTTCTAACTAAAGTATGCACAAAGACAGTGGAAACAAAGTTCTGTCTTGATCCGGCTGCCTGCCGGCAGTCTGAGGGCAACAAGCCCGAACAAGAGAAAAACAAACAAGGGTAATCAAAAATACCCATGGCTCCTTTAATCAAAGGGAGACATTTTGTCTAAGATCTCTATTCCACTCTAAATCTGCTTCTTTTTGTGCTTGTAGCAGCATTCTCTTAAGTGCACGTTCATAACTGAGTTTATCTCCCTAAAAGTAGGCTGGATATAAAATTCAGATCCCTCTAGGGTACAATCTGTAAAGCTCTTATACAGAAGAACGGGTTTTTGTCATTGACTTCGGTTTAGAAACTTGTTTGTTATGCAATTGATCGTGTTCGGTAGGAGCCGCACAATTCCCGGCTGGGGAATTCTCGTTGAGATAGGTGGGCACACTCAGCACCTTGTCACTGTCCCCACAGTCCCCAAGTCATCCAAGAGAACTCCAGCGAGAGTCTTGCATGTGCAGAGTGATTAAAGCACACATCCAAACCTCGCAAGGGTGGTGTGCGGGTGCCCGAATGAAAACGCACTCTTACAGAAAGAAAACACTGTGCGCCTGAAATGGGAATTTGAGTAGAGGTTTGAAAAATGGAAACCAAGTGAACGCGGGAGGAGGCTGTGACCACACTTCAGGAGGATGTTTCTGTAGGAGCCGCTGCAGTTAGTCGCCCACGGTGGCCGAGGCAGGAGCACGGGAGCACAGGGAACCCCGGGCTCGCTCTAGCACCGCGCCCGGCGCTCCCCCGCGCCTCGCCCCGCTCCTGGCGGAGGCGCCGGCCGGGAGCAAAGGGCGAGGAGCGCCCGCCCCGGGCTGAGGAGGCGGGCCGACCCCCGGAAGGCAGGGGAGAGGAAGAGAAGGGAAGGCTCGGACGGGTTTGTGTGTAGCCGGTGCTGGTCCCTGGCCATGTCGGGCGAGGAGCGGCGGCCGCCGGCGGGTGCGTGTGCGGAGGGNGACGGGATATGGGGCCGGGATGCGGCCGGGATATGGGGCCGGGATATGGGGCCGGGATATGGGGCCGGGATATGGGGCCGGGATATGGGGCCGGGATATGGGGCTCCTGGCGGGGCAGGAGCGGGATGGGGAATGTCTGCCAGGGGCCGGGGGCACCGAGGCCGGCTGCCCCCAGAGTGGGAGCAATGCCCGGAGGGCGCTGCCGGCGCTCATGGGCAGCGGGACCTTTACTTCTGTACTTCATTCCTTCCTTCACTCCTGCCGGAGGAAGGGAGCGGGGAAGGTGGCGAGGGACGGCGGCGGCCAAGGAGGAAATGGATTTGCACGTAAATCCAGCGCACCCCGCCCGGGGGAAAACCCCTCCGGCTCCCCGGCACGGCAACAGGAGGGAAGGAGAAGTCAGGGCAGCAGAACTCGAGTCGGGTTCCTGGAGATGCAGCTAGGCTTAAAGGGACTTCTTTTGTGTGCCATTCGAAGTGCCTTGGTCCAGCGTGCCCTCTGGTCTCGGTGCTGAGTCGGAAAGGCATCCAGGGAAAGATTCTGTGAGATTCCAGTGTATCCGGGTGCATACCTGACTTTTGATCCCTTTGAAGCAATCCACCTTCACGAAATTAAAGACAATTAGTCCCGTTGGTCTCAATCAGATTTTGGAACAAGCTGGTTCCTGTGTAAGACAATGAAAGTTGTCCCTCTCATATAGGAAGTTACTAAACAGGATTAAATTAACAGGAAAACTAAAGTTTCCTAGTTTCCTGTAGCTCAGGAGTTCTATTCCTCCTTTGTCTACATTTTCTGCCTTAAAGTTTGATGACTATAAAATTTTATGATCTGTTTTGGGGGGAAGTGTATCGCAAGAACTTTTGTCTTCTGTCAATACATAGCTATGTTAGTTTTGCAAAAGGCATTAATAACATTTGAAAAATAGATGTGAAGTGATTCTTCTTAAAATTGCAGGCCATGTCCAGCTGGACAGCAGACCTGCATTACCCACCACAGGTACAGTGTTTATGTATACAGTTCTCATAATGTGGTAATTAGTCTCTACCAGTAGTAGTAGTGATTTAATAGCCCACTGAGATGCTTAAGTGAGAGGAACAAGTATTTTGGCCTGTCTGCAAATCTGTAGTTCTGCACAGTCCAAAGATGTGCATGTTCCTTGTTATTGCCACACTGTTACTTTTATGTCTGTTCTGTACTGGAGGTATTTAAAGTCTGTATAGTTCAGCAAAAGAAAATGTTTAAATCTTGTCCCTTCTCAGTTGTCTATAGCTGTTAACACTATAAACTGTGACTCATGTGCTGCATCCAACCTCAAAGAGAATGCTCAGTTTTGTATTAGCAGCATTACTAAAAGAAAAGAAACACCAGCATATTTTTAAGTTATGTAAAATAATAACTGTCGAGTTAGAGTTCCTTTAAAAAAATATAGCCAGCCAGTTAGATATATAAAATCATAACCTCTGAATATGTTTATATAGGGACAGATACACAGACAGATAGAAAATATGCATGTCTTGACCACCTGAAATTCAGACTGTTGGAGTCAGAACTTCCAGAACAGCCTCCAAAAGCTGTGGGTGCAGACAAACACTAATGAGCATGCCTACTTACCTGATGTCTGAATGAGCTTTTGGTTCATATTAACAGCTAAACTTTAAGGCTGGATGCATAAGTTCAAATTGGTTTTGTTTGTT